GAAAACTAAAAATAGAGCTACCCTGCGATCCTGCAATCCCACTCCTGGGCATATATCTGGACAAAACTGTAACTTAAAAAGATACATGCATCGCCGTGTTCTTAGTAGCTCTATTTACAATAGCCAAGACACGGAAACAACCTAAACGTCCGTCAACAGAGGAATGGAGAAAGTGAGGCCCTCACTGCCTCTAAGATTAACGACACAGGCAGATACAGGGAGTCATGTCTTACTTAAAGGAGCAGAGACTCCCAAGCAAAACAATGGAGCAGACGTAGTTTCTTCAGCCAGTGGTGCTGGGACAACTGGACATTCACGTGTAAAAAAAAAAAAAGAATCTAGACACAGACCTTACACCCGGCACGGAAAATAACTCAAAATGGATCGTAAACGTAAATGTAAAACACAAAACTATAAAACTGCCAGAAGATTACCTAGGAGAAAACCTCAGTGACCTTGGGTATGGTGATGCCTTGTTAGATGCAACACCAAAGACACGATCCATGAAAAACATAATTGATATGCTGAACATCATTAAAATTAAAAACTTCGGTTCTGGGAAAGACAATATCAAGAGAATTAGAAAAACCACAGCCTGGGAGAAAATATTTGCAAAAGATGCATCTGATAAAGAACTGTTATCCAAAATATACAAAAGACTCTTAAAACTCAACAATGAGAAAACAAACAACTGAATAAAATTTGGGCCAAAGACCTGAACAGACACCTCACCAAGGAATAGATACAGATGGCAAATAAGCCCTTGACAAGATGCTCCACATCCCAGGTCATCAGGGAGATGGAAATGGAAGCAACAGTGAGACGCCACGACACACCTGTCAGAGCGGCCAGAACCAGAGCACTGACAGCACGCGATGCTGGCGAGAGGCTGGGGAGCAACAGGAACGCTCATCGCTGCTGGGGGGGGCGCAGTGGTGCAGCCACTCTGGAAGACAGCTCGGGAGCTCCTTACAAAACTACACACACTCTTACCGTAAAATCCAACAATTACACTCCTTGGTATTTACCCAAAGGAGCTGAAAATGTATAGCCTACGCGGAAACCTACAGTGGGTGTTTAGAGTAGCTTTATTCATAATTGCCAAAACTTGGAAGCAACCAAGATGTCTTTCAGTAGGCAAATGGAGAAATAAACTGTGCTACATCCAGTTATAATCCAGAATATTATTCAGCACGAAAAAGAAATGAGCTGGGCTTCCCTGGTGGCGCAGTGGTTGAGAGTCCGCCTGCCGATGCAGGGGACACGGGTTCATGCCCCGGTCCGGGAAGATCCCACATGCTGCGGAGCGGCTATGCCCATGAGCCATAGCCTCTGAGCCTGTGCGTCCGGAGCCTGTGCTCCGCAACGGAAGAGTTCGCAACAGTGAGAGGCCCGTGTACTGCAGGAAAAAAAAAAAAAAAGAAATGAGCTGTTAAGCCATGAAAAGACGCGGAGCACCCTTAAGTGCATACTACGTACGAAGTGAAAGAAGCCGATCTGAAAAGGCTACGTACTGTATTATTCCAACTCTGTGACATTCTGGAAAAGGCAGAACTATGGAGACATAAAAACATCAGTGGTCTCCAAGGGAGGGAGATGAATAAGCAGAGTGCAGAGGATTTTGAGGGCAGAGAAAATGATGGGTACGTGTCATTGTATGTTTGTCCAAGCTCATAGAATGTACAACACCAAGAGTGAACCTTGCGGTTAAACTATGCTGATTATGATGTATCAGTGTTACCAAGGTTCACCCTTGGTAACATATAGCATCTGGTGGGAGATGTCGAAGATGGGGAGGGCTGTGCACGTGTGGGGTGGGGAGTATGTGAGAACTTCGCTTTTGTAGTAAACCCAAACCTGCTCTAAAAAATGTCCTTAAAGCAGGTTTGGGTTTACTACAAAACTGAAGTTCTCACATCCTGGTGGAGCAGTGGTTAAGAATCCACCTGCCAATGCAGGAGACACGGGTTCGAGCCCTGGTCTGGGAAGATCCCACATGCTGGGAAGCAGTTAAGCCCGTGTGCCACGACTACTGAGCCTGAGCTCTAGAGCCCACGAACCACAACTACTGAGCCCGCGAGCCACAACTACTGAAGCCTGCATGCCACAACTACTGAGCCTGAGCTCTAGAGCCTACGAGCCACGACTACTGGGCCCATGAGCCACAACTACTGAGCCCACGAGCCACAACTACTGAAGCCCGTGCACCACAACTACTGAGCCTGCGAGCCACAGCTGCTGAAGCCTGCGCACCTAGAGCCCGTGCTCTGCAACAAGAGAAGCCACCGCAATGAGAAGCCCACGCACCGCAACGAAGACCCAATGCAGCCAAAAATAAATAATAAATAAATTTAAAAATGTTTTTTTAAAAAGTAAAATAAATAGGGTCAGTAGAATAAGTAATTCTTAAGAGCTTCTGTCTCAAATTAAAATTTTTGAACCTCTAGTAATATCTGTCCGTCCTTTTCCCACAATTTCACTCATATGTTGTTCATAATCTTAAGTCTTAACTATGGGATTTTGGCTCCCTGTTCGGTAAAGTATTTCATTGAACTTAGCCAAGGCCAGGCTCGGAGCGGCCTGGGAATAGTTAGGAGTCTTCCCTTCTTCCCAGCACATTGAGAGGCTTTGTATGGTTTTGTTTTTATTTGTTTGTTTCTTTTTAAGGCAGGGAGGAGTTGTCCTGACTCTCCCCATGGTAGTTAGGTTACGGCATTGTCTCCTAAGCGGAAGCTGTGATTTGCCCATGGCTTTGAAGTAGTAACCTCATAAATGTCCCATCCCTGGAATCCAGTCTATTTCAGCATCCACAGGCCTAATTTCTGCTTGTAATCTGATTACGGGGTTTGAGCTCTTCTAGCCTGCAGTCTCTTGCTTTGCGTTTACTATACTGTCAAGGACACCAGTGCCTGATTGCTGTAGCCCTGCGCTGGGAAAAGCTCAACCTAGTTTTGCTCAGACAGGCCTCAGGCCGTGGCTGGTTGAGAATTAGCTGTGGAGCAGGCTCTGTCCCTGAACTTTCTGTGTGCAACCATGTTCAGAAGCCCAGGGATTTCTAGCTACTTGGGAGCTTTCAAGTTCTCTGAGAAACAAGGTAAGGCGAGAGAAATGCAAAATGCACTGAAGTGTCTATTTCATAACGTCGGGAGCGTCTTGCATCCTCCATCTCATCTTGGATGCCCCTGTTACACGGTTCTGTAGTTTTCTCAAAGGATACCTTAAATGTCTCATTGACTTTATAAGTTAGCTTATCTTGCGATTGCTGAGAAACATGACTTCTTTTTTTCTGTTGTAAGTTAAAGATATTGCTAAGCCACTAAAGCCTTTATGGAGGAAACACTGCAGATTAAATTGGAATGCCCACACTTTGGATTAAGTTCTGGATGTGCTGTACTTTCGCTAAAATATTTTTCTAAACCAAATGTTATATCTACTAAATTATTTCCAGTAGGCAGTGGTGGTTGTCTTTTTACGAAATCTTCATGGGAGACTGTTTGGAACAAAATGTTGTCTTTTTAGTGGCTTCCTTTTGAGCCCAGAGGAAAAGATGTGCTTTCAATGTAACTACTGAAGTGACATCTCAGATTCAGTTCACTGACTGAACCAAAAGGAGACGCTTAGGTTATCTTGAAGGACACATTGGAAATTCAGCCATTGCCTATAAAAGCATTTTCGAGCCCAAATGCACGATTAGGAAGTGATTTGAACAGTTGGGGCATCAGATGCAGGAATTTTCTTCTACAGTATTTGATAGCTTTTTTTTTTTTTTACATCTTTATTGGAGTATAATTGCTTCGCAATGCTGTGCTAGTTTCTGTTGTACAGCAAAGTGAATCAGTTATACACATACATATGTCCCCATATCCCCTTCCCCTTGAACCTCCCTCCCACCCTCCCTATCCCACCCCTCTAGGTCGACACAAAGCACCACGCTGATCTCCCTGTGCTTTGATAGCTTTTCGAACTGAGTTCTCTTTTTCTAAATGTGACACAAAGATATTTGTGTAATTAGCAGAAAAGCCTAGATGTTTAACTGGCAATATACATTTCATTTTATTGTATTTCTCTAGTTGGTCGGAATTTCCAAATTCCGGGATTCAGGGTGTATTTTAATGACTAACGACATGTCGGCATCTGGTATATCTTGTACCTCCTTTTCCTCAAGCTTCTGCCCCCAAATATTAAACAGTAAAAGGAGTTTCCACGGGGGAAAGAATTTCCGTAAGTGGTCTAATTGTGGTTTTCTGGGTGGACAAACGGTTGCTCTATGCCAAAACTTGTAAAACAGATTACTTACCCAAGGCTGGCTGTGCATTTGTCTGTGCCTGGTTTTCATTAACCAACTCACTCAGTGTGTGTTTCTGCCGGATGGGATTGTTACCAGCTGTCTTTACATAATATATGTCTTGTCTTCAAAAATAAATAAGTGGCGAATTCGATGTATTGTTATTATTTAGATCTTAATGAAGGCAATAAAAACACACCTGAAGTATTCCCGCCCCCCGTTCATCAACCCCTCACGTGCCTGCCCCCCACCATGCATTCTTTAAAAGCATCTCAAATATATCAGGCAGTGATGACTTTCAACCTTCCTGGTCACCTGGACCAAAATTGTTCAATTTTTTTCGCTCCTTTTTTTTTTTTTTTCCTGAGGATAATATCCATGTTTTTCAGTATTTAATTGCTTTGAGTTACTCTTGTAGCCATAGAGAATTTAAATGATAGCATTGAACTATGTCAGAATTTTTTTTTTTTTAACCCATGGAGTATCTTGGCTACTATTAACCAAAACCAAAAAAACTTGCCTAAGTAAAATGTATGTGGTGGAATTTGATTCATAAAGGTGTCCTTTTTGTATTCACATTTCTGGTTCATGGTTTCCTTTTTCTTAAATGCTCTCAAAGGGAGGCTGAAGAATTTTTTTTCCCATTGGAGTGTTTTCTTTTGGTCTTAACTGACTGTGTGGGTATTTCAATCTTATATTATTTCTTTCCCCTTAGATTTGAACAAGAAAAACTTAAGCCTTGCTGGATTCCCGCGTCAAAGAATAGTTCCAAGGTAAAGTAGTCTTTGCTCAAGGAATCTTAAGTTTTGAAGATTTGTAAGAGCTTTTGAAATTATTCTCCTACGTTCCTAATTCATGAGTTTTAAATGTTTGAAAAAAAAAGTGTTTTTTCCCCAGAGTTTGACTCGTTAAAACACGCGAAGCGAGCTGACTTAGTACACGCAGCTAGCAAAGATTCTTTGTGTGTTTAATGCTTTTTATGGGAACTATTTGCAAAACCGGCTATTGGTATCTCTATAATTACAAACTTGTCAAGGGCTATTATCTTTTCTGTCTCACACCTGCCTCTAAGCATGGGATGTCCTTGTCGCAGTCTGTCCCTCGAGTAAGGGAGCTCTTCATTTTTTAAGAAAGGATCTAGCCTGTTCCTCCTCTCTCTCTCCCTTCCTTCTGCCCTTTCTTCTCCCCTTACTTCCCTCCCTCCACCCATCCACCCACTCCCCTGTCCAGATGAGTTCTTGCTGCCTGGTCTCTTAACCTTTCTGCACTTCAGTTCCATTGGCTGCAGGATGTTATGGGTGCTAATTTCATTTACCTGATGTGCTAATTTGATTTACCTGATGCAGTACATCATAACTGATATGAGATAATACAAAACTTAAAGTTGGTACCAAACAAGGCAGCTGTATCTCAGATGCCTCCTAGTACATCGCTGTCCCTAATAGGTTTTGAGATTTTCAGGTAGAGGCACAAAATAATTATCTCTTACACAGCCAGGTGTAGCTTTCAACATACACTTTATTATGCTAGAAGGACCCAACCCAGATCTACCCCTCATTCCACATGGATGCGCTTGTTACGAAAGACATCGTTTCTTTACTTAAAAAGTCTGTATTTCAGTAGCATCGGGATAAACAGTTGTGTTACCACTGTCCTTGTCAGGCTGGGCCTGGCTCTGCATTTGAAAATGTTAGCATTGGCCTTGTGAACGCACCGGACGGGGTAAAGCTTTGATGAATTGCGTGCGCATCTTAGCGTCAGGTGGGGAGGCAGAGTTATCAGTAAGGTTGTCTTACTTGACTCATGAAATCTCACTCTTGTGGGGCTTGACACAATCGCCCGTATTTCTCATCTTCTCCATCTTTTTAATAGAAGCTAAGGCTTATGTCTTAGTTCGTCCAGGCTACCGTTGACTGGGTGGCTGATAAACAGTAGAAATTTATTTCTCACATCCAGAGGCTGGAAGTCGAAGATCAGGGTGCACCGTGGTGGGGTGAGGGTCCGCTTCCGGGTTGCCCACTGCTGATTTCTTGTATCTGCTCTTAGTGGAATGGGCCAGGGAGCTCTCTGGGTTTCTTTTTATAATGGCGCTAATCTCTTTCATGAGGGCTCCACCGTCATGACCTAATCACCTTCCAAAGGCCCCACCTCCTAATATTATCACCTTTGGGTGTCAGGATTTCAACCTACGGATTTGGGGGAACATAAACATTCAGACCACAGCAGCTTCATTCCCGATACGTCTCTAGCAGGTTGGTTTGGCTGTAATAGACCTAATAAGTGACTAAGAGAATGGAACAATAGGAAGGGAGTTGGGAAGGAGAAGTATGAACTATGAATGCAGGTCAGTCACTCCAGTGGAGAGGGACTCAGAGGACACTGCCGTTCTAAAACGGTGTTATTTCATGTGTACCTATTAAAACAGTGGCCCCCTTGCTATGCTCCTAAGTGTAAACTGGGCTGGAAATACAAGAACCTGCCTCCTTCAAAGAAATCTAGTCACCCAGACACCAGAGGTGAGAATATGAGGTAATGGATTTCATCTATCTTGTAACTTAAACTGCAATAGAAGAGTGAGCAGATGTCGGGGAGCCCTTCACTGTGTGGATACTGAACAGTTACTGGAATACCGTATCCCTCGTTGTGTAAAAGATAGGAGGTAATGACAGTAGAATATCCTGCTCTCACTTTAATAAAATTTCCCCTTGTTGCTATTGCTGGGCATTTAAGTAGGTTAATGGGACACATTAAAAAAAAATTATCGTGGAAGCAAAGGGCAAGCTCTTTTTAGATTACTGAAGCAGATGGAAAGAGCTAGAAGCATGAAAATAATTAGTCATGAGGAGTTAGCTCCATTTCAGAGGAGATGAAGGTAAATAAGACATATTAAAGGTGTTTCTTCACACTAGAAGCTTTTTAAATTATAATTCCAAAAAATGAAGACTGTAGCATGTCTTCATTACATATGGAGAGAGAGTTTCATGCTGAAATAGAGGATCCCACCTGGAGCTGTGGAAACCCACCAAGACCCACAGAGGTTGTCCAGGCAGAGACCCCTGATCCCCGAGTGGGTGACGACGAGGAAGATTGCAAGCCAGCATCCGAAGCTTAGGTTTGGAGTCACCAGTTGTGTGAGCTGAGGATGGGCCCCACCAGTGAGGCTGCTCTGGGCGCCTCTGATTCAGAAAAGCAAGAGGACGTGCTGTCAGGGCTTTGGGGTAGGGGCGGCCTTTGTAAGTGTCTCACCGGCCGTGGTGATCAGAAGGGGTGACTCATTCACGAAGAGTCCATACTTCTTTACCAGCGTGTCTTGCAAGCATTTTCACTGCTGCCTCATACCCTCGGGCGTCGAAAGTCCAGGGCAGAGACGTGACCTTTTTCAAAACCTGGTTCCACGTCGATTTTGGGGATCTTGTGTCAGTCACAGCTCTGTGACAATCTCAAGTCAGGGTCATCGGAATGACCCATCCTCCTTATTCGTTCGACCTGCTCATCTGCTTCCTCAGAAGTTAGCAGCCGTTTGGTGAACATAGAGAGAGGCAGTAGAAGCAAGAACAAAATGTGACGATGACACGTGGATTCCAATAAGCAAAGTTTAGCTCGAAGATGGAGACTTGAAACATGGAATACTTCACAGGCAGGCAAACATACACATATCTTCATACGTGCATGCCAGGTGGGCAGAGGTAATAAGGAGAGATGTTTTCCCAATTATATGTTATTCTAAAGAAGAAAGGATGAGAGGAAGAAAGGAAGGAAGGGAGGGAGAAAGCAAGCTTATAACTGATGTGATTGAATGCATGCCCTTCTAATTAGTCTCAGTATTTCTAACGCTCTTTGCCCCATCACATCAACAGTGTATAAGATGTATACGTAAAACACTTCAGAGCGAGTCACACTAGACATCTGAAATATTTTACTGGAGCCATTCCTTCCTTCATTCCCTATACGTTTATTGATTTTTAAAAAATATTCTTAAACATCAGTAATTTAAAGTAAGACACTTGTAATATGCTCTGTAAATAGGAAAACAGGATAACATGAGAGAAAATAACAGAGGTGCGTAATATAGATTCGGCTCTCGTGGGACAGACACTGGGTCAGAGGGTTCTTTCTTAAAGAAACGACCGGCTCTGGTGGGACAGACACTTGGGTCAGAGGGTTCTTTCTTAAGGAAACCACCTTAAACTGAGGCCCAGACCAGAAGCAGGACTCAGCCAGGATGGAAGGAAGCAGGAGAGGTGAGAATTCAGGCGGAAACAGCATGTACAGTGAACCACGCGAGGAGGCCGGAGAGACTTTCCTAATGTGCTCTGGTTTTCCATTGGTTTCTGACCACCTGTAATCCTTCCCATCGGCACAAACACATGTGTAGTTTGTTTCAAGAAAGTAAGTGCGTGTGAAGCCAGGGGTGTAGGGTGATGGCCTGTGAACCCCACTCTGTAGAAGTTCAGCAGAATGTTTTAAGTAGGGGGTCGTTTCTTAGTCTTTATTAGCGGCTTCATTGAGCTTTTTGATGAGCAGATGAAAGGGGAAAACTAGAAACACACATGTTTATTTTTGAAAAGATGAGATAATACATTTGTACCCCGAGGTCAGTGGCCACAGGAGCTGGCTGTTTCAGGGGCTGCATCATTTCATTGTAATACAGGATTTTTTCCCTGAGATTTTCATTTCCCAAAGACAGTACAGAACTTCATCTGGATATTCCAAGCATTTAAACAGTCAGTTAAAATAGCGTGCCATTCCTCAAGTAGGGTGCCTTTCTGCAGTTGTTTAAATGTTTAGGTTTAGACCACATCATACCTCTGAAAAAAACACTGAGAACTGTCACTGCATTGCGATTCACTCTTGAGAAGTCAGGGCTAATCCCAAGTCTCTGACCTCAGCAAGCGTCTTAGGATCTTCAAGCCAACTGGACTGTGGTTTACAAAGACTACTCATTCGCAAGACTCTTGATGTGAACCTGGCACTCATCACCCATTCCCATTCCACATTTATAAGCAATAACGAAGGTTTGACATGAGCTTGGCTCTAGGAAGATGGGATGGCCATATTTTGGAATGTGCAGGCGATCCTTGAAATTTAATTTAATTTGCATACGGGATGTAGGTAATCCACGCGTTCCCTCACATGGCACGGACAGCACTTCCTCAGTCTCCCCTCGGGCCTCTGTGGATACGCACCCCTGCCAGGCACAAGCACAGACAGGGGACCATCAACAGGGAAGGTCGGCTTCGCGCTGGGTGTGTTTGCAGACCTGTTGCCGCCTCTCCAGAGGTGATCGTGTCGCTGGGGAAGATGAGTTTCCTGTTTCCCTAGGTTCGTTTTCTTCCTGCGAGGCAGCAGCTCTGTCTCGCCGAGCTCCAGGCACGTCCCCACGGAGACCTTGAACTTGTGGGTACTGAGTCTTGGGGCGACGGCACACAGCGTAGGAGCCTGAGCGAGATGTGCGCCTCATGTACTGTTCTTGCCGCATGGGCAAAGCCTCGAACGGGTTCGTGATCCGGAAGCCGAGGCTGACAGTAGTTCCGGGGGTGTTGGGACTGGCTCGCACCCCTCTTCCCCAGCGAGTGTGCCCGCGTGCATAGGTCACTGAGCCACGGGAGAGCTGGAAGAGTGGCAGTGCCGGGGGAGGGGAGCGTTTACGCCGCCAGCCAATGCTGCCCAACAGGTGCTTTGCGGGGCTGCGGGCAGGGTGGGCGGAGGAGGGAGTCGGCTGTTAAGCCTGCACCGGCACAGCGCTCAGGAGGTCACACCCCAGAGGGTCTTGTGAAGCTAGCTCCTACCCAGGATGGCTTCCTGCAGAAGGCAAGTGCGAGGCAAGTGCGAGGCAAGCGCTCAGTTCCTTTCTTCGTCTCCCCTTTTCGATTCTTGTTTTTCCCAGACAAGTTTTCATGAACCTTTCAGACCTCTTCACCATGCTTTGATTTCTTGTTTGTTTGAAGGCATTTGTTACTTTGATTTCAACCCAGAGGAAAGCATGTAGATCACCTAGACAAGTTGCTGATTTTCTGAGGAAAGCTGTAGCACAGAGAGGTTGAATGAGTAATCCAAGCTTGCACAGCTCTTGGTGACCCTTGAAGAGGTTGTTGGTCTGAACCAAGGCATCGGACTCCCAGCGCAGCGATGTTTTCACTCCCCTAGGCCATGCCCCCGCCTATGCTGATGTAATTATTTAGCTGCACCCAAAAATCATATTAACAAAATCATAAATAATTGAAAAAAGGTACCAGTTAACGCCCCCAAATAGAACTTTTCACTTGTGATCTACACACACATGTTTAACTATGTATAACAGTAGCATAATTTTTACGTTCTGCACTGTTTTGGCTCATATCAGATACCAGGGTTTAAAATGACTTTAAACATTTTCTTAATGGAATTATTTTTAGCTTTCAGGAAGAGTTCTTGCTTGAAGACAAAGAACCGCTTGCTAACCACAAAAGAGGAATCGATGCTCAGCTTTTAGCTGCCCTCCCGAAAGGTGAGGCTTCTAGACAGTTGACAAGTGCACAGTGCGTATAAGTGTTGTGTGACCTGACTTTCTTGAAGGAGGCCCCTACGCTAACCTCCGGCTCTGCTCTCCTCTGTGTACCTTTCTGTCTCTTCCAGGAATCAACCTCAGAGTACCTCTCTTGTTGCATGGTTTGACCTCACCGTTCCACAAGTTCCCTCCTTTCACTTTAGGCGTCCTCAGGTTTTCACTGGAGGCTGGTGCAGAGGATGAGAGAGGGGTTCAAGAATCATCCTCACCTCATCTCTCTCCTACCTTTCACCTTCTCCACGGGTGGTGGGTTCCGCTCATTTGCCCATTTCTTCTCCACCCCTTCCCACTGCTTCCAGCCCCTGATGCTTTCCAGCGCTGGGAAAGGCATTTACACTTGATATCTTTCAGCTCCCAACTGGGGTACACACTGGGCAAGCAGTGCAGACTGCGTCGGAAGCATCTCTCTTCTCACCCAAGTAGGTTCTCACACATTTGGCGAATTCGTATTTTCACTGGACTAGACGCACATGCAGTCACATATTTGCATCAGCCACCAGCCCACTGTGCCTAGTTCTGCCCGTGGAATGATGTGAACATTACCTGAACTTTGTTTCTACCAAATGTAACACTAACGCAGGGGAGTACCAGCTCACAAGCTGTCTTCATCCCAGATGAGCTGTGTAACCCTTACTTCAGAGGAAACAGCTTTTCCAGCAATCCCACTCCTGGGCATATGCCCAGAAAAGAGGAAAACTCTAATTCAAAAAGATACCGGCACCCCTATGTTCATAGCAGCTCTATTTACAATAGCCAAGACATGGAAGTGACCTAAATGTCCATTGACAGAGGAATGGATAAAGAAGATGCAGTACATATATACAATGGAATATTACTCGGCCATAAAAAATAATGAAATAATGCTATTTGCAGTAACATGCCTGGACCTAGAGATTATCATACGAAGTGAAGTCAGACAGAGGAAGACAAATATCAGATATCACTTATATGTGGAATCTAAACACTGATACAAATGAACTTATTTACAAAATAGACTCACAGACATAGAAAACAAACTTACGGTTACCAAAGGGGAAAGCAGGGGTGGGGGGTGGGGATAAATTAGGAGTTTGGAGTTAACAGATACACACTACTATATATAAAATAGATAAACAACAAGGACCTACAGCACAGGGAACTATATTCAGTATCTTGTAGTAACCTATGATAGAAAAGCATCTGAAAAGTTATATATATATATGACTGAATCACTTTGCTGTACACCTGAAACATTGTAAATCAACTATACAACTATACTTCAATAAAAAATAAATTAAAAAAAGAAGAAACAGCTTTGGTGAAAGATCAGAATTTTTTTCTATTCTGAAAAAAACAAAACCAAAAAAAAAAAAAAAGCAGCAACAAAACACATGAGATCAAGCCCAGAAGAAATTAGACCAGGAAAAAAATAGTCTTTTAATAGAAACGAAATCCAGTTTATACAGGCCCACTGGCAAATTCGCATGTATCATGAGGAACTGAGTGGGTCGTACGCCCGGACACAGGGTGACAAAGATGGATACTTGAAGGACCCCAGGGATCTGGCCCGGTGGAAACAAACAGGGAAATTTTTCAGTTTTCAAGTACTTAACAACACTGTCAACTGAAATGGAGGCTTATTCTATGTTGCTCCGGAGGCCAAAGTAAGAAGAACGTCTAGAATTACAAGGAGGCGGGTGAAATTTTGTGGGAGAAGGAAAATTCTGATAGTCCGTAGTACGTCGAAGTGAAATGCACTGCATTGTGATCTCATTCGTTCTGCATTAACTGTTCAAGTCAGGTCATAAGCCACGTAGTCAAGGGTAGGACAGATGCCGTGAAGGGTTCCCACCCGGAACCCCAAGTATGAAATGGAAAGGCCCTTCTGATTTTTTAAGACTGTTTGTGAAAGACAAACTCAATTTAATCTGAGCCAAATGTAAAAGTCTATGAAGACGATCAAAGCAAAGAATAAGAATGAACAACTTGATTTTAGCAATAGCTTAGACTTGACTGATCAGGGAAAGTTATATAAAGCTGAAGTTTTCCCTCTTCCTCTCTCCCCTGCCCCCAGTTCCTTGATGAATAATAGACAATATTAAGATCATAAAAATTAAGAACAGTATGAGAGCCTAGATTCCTTAAGGTTCAACGACTTGGAACTCTACATATAACAAAATTTTAAAATGCATAAGCTTATTAACCAGTTTAATTAAACATGTTACCATAATTGGTAATAAAAATCATGATTTTCACCAATCAAAGATCATTAACTTTATGTACTCACCAGATTTATGTTTCTAAATTAACAAGGCCTTTAAAACATGCTTTTAAAGTGTCAGAGTCGCTGTTCCCCTAAATTTCATCTAAATTCCCACAGTCTTATTTTACAGTCTTTACTGTTTATCAGTTTGGGCAGGCGTGGTTGCAAAGACCCAGGTATAACCAGTGAACTTTCCACTTCCACGTTTGTTATTCTCTCGGTTCTTAGCAATAGCAGGTGAAAAGTAGGAATTGATTATGACTTTTAATGGCATGGAGTTTCATGTATGTTTATAAGTTTACAGACGTCTCTTCCTGTTCATTTAGTGAGGGATTTTTGCTTCCGTGAAATCGAGCTCTAAAATGATCATTGATTTTTCTGTAAGGAACTTCCTTTAACTGTGTATCACAAACAGGTAGTCAAGGGATTAAGACCCTTTACCTGTGTAAAACTTATCATATTAAAATAGATTTTCCATTAAGGAATTATGAAATGGACCAAATATATGACTCTCCTTTTTTTTAAGTGTCATTGAGACATAATTCCTATACCATACAATTCATCCATTTAAAGTGGACAGTTCAGTGGCTCTTGGTAGATTCACATAATCGTGCATTGATCGGCAGAGGCAATTTTAGAACATTTTTATTTTCCCCCAAAAACCCCTTCTCTTAGCCATCAGGTCTCCCCCTCATTCCTCTAGGTGTGTGATGACTTATTTTAGAAGTTGCTGGTCTTTATATTAGTGGCTGCCATCCACGTGTAAAACTTAAAGGGGATTTACTCCTGGGGAAGAAAGAGAAGCCTTCAGAATGTTCTGGATCTGGCCTATGGTATCAAATGCAGGCAGGGAGAGAGCTGTTCTTGGCAGTCCCCCCGCCACTTATATTTCTTTGGAAGATTCTGCTGTACTCAGGCTTGGGAGACTGAACTCAACAATAACTTTACCAGAAAGCCTGTTCTCAGAACTAACTGAAGAAACCACGTTTCCTAAAAAAAGCCCCTAACAGAACCAATTATCCTGCGTATTGGTATTATATATTATTACAAAGTATATGAGGCAGTTAAATATTTTTTATAAAGTATTATAGCCCTGATGTCAAAGTCCCTTAAATTGCCTTACTTGGAAAATGACCAACACAAGGCCCAGCAGAAATAACTGAAGAACTAGACTCACAGAATCTATATTGTTAGACAAGGGCAGCAACTGAAATCACAGGTATAAAGGGTACAAGTCTCAATGCACTTGAAAGCAAAGTAGAAAATTTGTTACAACAGAAGTTCGATCAGCTGTGCTAGCTTCTGTCTGGATTTATGTTGATGAATATCACTGTTTTCTGAACCATGTTTTAGTTATATACATATGACACAGCACACCATCAATTGAATTGTGGCTTTTGCATCTAATTTTTTCAAAATTCTTATTCCTTGTTTTGAGGAAATAGACACTGAAAAATTTAGAGGTAAAAAGGGCATCAGGCTGCAACCTACTCTTAAATGATTCAGAAAGATTAATATGTAAATATGTGCATTTGTATGCATGTGTATGTACACAAATATGCATATGGAGAGAGAGAAAGAGGGTAAAAAAATCAAATGTAGTGACCAATGTTAACGTATGAAATATGTCTTTTAATTTTTCTGAGTCTGAAATTATATAAAAATTTTAAAGGAAGGAAACCTTTTGGGAGATTATAAATAATAATAAACTCTATTCAGGACTGGCAGAAGATAACAATGATAGAAGAGTCCGTGGTCTCTACACCTGGTACATGGAGTGATGCCATGTTTCCACAGTCGGGGCAATTCCCATGATTTTTTAGTAGTAGCTTCTTTTCCAGTGTTTTATGATAAACCCAACCAATACGCGGGAGGCGGGGTGCCTAATAAGGACTGCACGTGCCCGTATGAAGGTGTTCTGTTTCCTGGAAAGGAATGAAAAAAGTGCACACACACGTCAGCCATTGAAATAAAGCATCCTTCTCTTTTATACAACCGACATGTTTTCACATGGAATAGGTGTACCAGAGTAATTATGTTACATGTGTGTTTTACTAAGTTTGCTTTTAAATGGTAGACTTGGAGAAGGGAAACCAAACTCCAGATGTCTCTCTGCTCCTTCTTTTTGCCTTCCACACCGTTTCTTTTCTCTGTTGTCTCGTGTCTGTAGGAGTGAGGCAGGTCTTGGTCCTCAAGAATTAATTTGTTAGAAAGAGTAGACGGAGAGGTAACTTATTCACTGGAGGGATTTTTTATTTTCCTAGAAGATTCACTGTAGATTTCCACGAAGAATTAACAAGCTCATGGGCCCATTTAAAGTATAGCTTGATTTATGACCTTATTTTGTTCCCCAGTAAATGATCAGGGACACTGCTCTAAGCCACACTTCCTCCAAAGGCAGGAGGTACCATGGTAACCAAACCCTTGCCTTCTACACCAAACACGAGAAGCCAGACGCCCACCCCCAGCTGCTCTGGTGCCTGTGAAGGCCACTGGACAGACAGACTTGTGAAGCCAACCGTCCTTTGAAAACAGTCAATCCAGCTAAATGCTCAGGTGGCCGTCATTTAACGATAAATTTAGAAAGATGGCTGGCATCTGCACACAGCCAAAGGGCAGCATAACAGTCGTGTGTGCACGCACGTGTGAGGTTTTGACTCACTACTAAGAATGTCCACTTAGGGACTTCCCTGGCGGTCCAGTGGTTAGGATTCGGGGCTCTCACTGCCGTGGATTGGATTCAGTTCCTGGTCGGGGAACTGAGATCCCACAAGCCATGCGGCGGAGCCAAAAATAAAAATAACCACTTAAAAAAATCCAGTGGAAATTGAAGCAGCTGAAAATTCAGTTCTGTGCATTCATACCCTATCCTGTGAGTTTCTGCTTTGACTCAGCCTCGCAAATGTTTCGTGGGCCCCAGGGCTGTCGCAGCTCCCTGTTCCTAGGACCTCAGTGGAGCTGGTCAGACGAGCCCTTACGAATTCACGTGATTGAGGAGGACATAAGGAGAGGGACCTCGGTTCTCTGCCAAGTTTGGCCATTTCTCCAGAGAAACCATTGTTTGGCCTCTCAGTGCAATATCTTTGTGGCCAGCGTCACGGGAGACCCTCGCAACATCAGTAGGACGCTCATCTGATCTCCCAGCGTTGCCGGGAGAGTAGGGGTCATTACATTTTCCATCGTCCACCTGAATTACAGCCAGGAAGCAAACGTTAACATTTCCTTCCAGGGAAAGCCTGTAAGGGGAGGCATAGGAACTGGGTTAATCTAAACTGTAGTTGATCGAGGTGTGCAGTCACGCACCGTTAGAAACCCCACCGGGTAGTTACAGGTCTTTACAGGTCAGTGATGGGGGACGTAGGAGTGGTGTGAGCTCCTGACTGCTGCGGCTTGCTGGTAGCACATGGGGGTTCACAGTACTTCAGTCTCTACTTTTGCACGTTTGCAGTTTTGATGATGGAAAGCTTGAAATACTGTGCTAAACCTAATACTGAAAAACAGTGAGATTTGTGCTGGCTGGAGAGAGATTCAGGGCTAGGCTCCCTCCGGCTCCCCTGGATGAAATAGAACTCACTCTTATTACTCCATGGTTTTACTTCTTAGACCAGCCTGTGACGTGTGTGTGTGTGTGTGTGTGTGTGTGTGTGTGTGTGTGTGTGTACATGTATTCATCTGGCATCTGCCTCCCCCTATTATAAGACAGTTTGCAGGAACTGTGTCCGTTTTGTGTATCACTGTTGCATGGGAGCCATGAACAGAAGTATGAGTTCCATAAATAGATGTTGCATGAACGAATGAATGAATAAAATGAACACATGACGACTAAATACTGGACTTTTTTTCTTTATTGTCTTATTTTAGTTGCAGAATTAAGAAAACTCTTTGAACCAAAGAGGAAAGAATTTTCAGACATGAAAAGGTAAGATGTTCGTTGTACATAATTAGGAAGTAGAAGAGTTTGCAAAGCAGTGTCCAGTGTTGCCTGAGAACTGATGTCCGTGGCTCACCACGCCTTTGCTGGTGTCTTGTACAGAAAAGAAAGAATTGCCAGGCGCCTAGAAGGAATCGAAACCGACACGCAGCCCATCCTCTTGCAGAGCTGCACGGGCTTAGTGAGTCATCATCTGCTGGAGGAGGACCTGCCCAGATACACGCGCGCCACAGACCCAGCCAGTCCTCACATCGGTGAGCTTGTGGCCCGGTGGCCCGTCACCAGCCTTTTCTATCCAGCACTCCTGGAAAATGAGATGTTCCAAGAGCGTGAATTGTGTAGATGTAAAATGTGTATTAAATCTGTGGGTTTGTTCAAACCAGCAGCAGCACCTGTGTCAGCTCTGCCACACGCCCCAGGTGTGGTCCTCCAGTGTCACAGCAGTGAGAAATGACCCCCCAGTTGCGTAATTGATGACCAGTCATTTGTCTCCCGCACCTCCACCCCCGTTCCCCAGACCATCCCAGGGCAGGAACTGTGTCTCTCTCTCCACCCGCTCAGGGCCCCAGCTGTCAGAGACCCTCAGGTTTGTTTGGGAAAGGGCTGAGTAAGACAGGCATCTCTTATAATAGGTTTAAATAGAATGCACAGGTGCCCAGCACAGGACAGCGTTGCTTTCGGCAGGGAGCCTGGAAGAGCAAAGCTGGACCTCGAATGACTGGGGCTCTTACTCTATGTGTTTATGCAACAAGCATCCTATTTAAGTTATTTTAATAGGTGTAATTTTAAATGCATTGTGTATCTATTTCATGTTGAACAGCATGTCAAACATGACAGCTTTTCCTTGGTTACTCAGACGTTGCTGTAGCATCAGATAATCCACGTGACCTTGGGAGAGGGTGACGCGCGCGCGGGGCTGCCCTTCCTGCCCTCCCCGTCCCTGGCTCTGCGGCTCTGTGCTGCTGCTCTTATATCCGGTATTTTCTGGTTCCTTCCTGAGAGAGAGATGCTGGTCTCCCTTCGCGATGTGATAAGTTTGCCCGTCTCTACAGTTTCTGGTTTTCTGCAGTCAGAAAACTAGAGAACTAAGATTCTTTTTTACATACGTGAAGCAGCAAAAGTAGACAGAGTACCAAGATATATGGCCAGAAATAAACCCCAGTGTATATAACATGTTAATCGATGTATTATATGATCATTGAAGCGTCACGTTAGTAAGAAAAGGAAGAATTATTTAATAAACCGGTAATGGGAAAAATGGGATAGCAGTGGGGAGGAACTATACCCCCTCCTCACTTCCTACCCAAACCAAAATAAGGTCCAATTAATCACATAATTAATTTTAAGAGAATAATTAAAAACACGAAAACAAAGGTGAGTGTTTAGTTCCAGCTGAATGGAAAAGGACTTTCAAAACACTGAAACAGCTGTAGAAATCACCAATGACCAGGTCCATTGACTTGACTGCATAATAATTAACATCTGTGCTTCAAAGAAAATCTTTGACTTCACAAAAAATTAAGGAAGTTTAAAAATATCCATGAAGAAGATAAAGAGCTCATATTCCTATAAAATTTTACACAAAACAATAAAAATGACACTGTGAATCAAAAGAATATAGAGCAGTAAGCTTGACCAGATATTCCAGAGAAGAAAAAGATAATGATACAAATGCTAAATAATTGAAAAATGCATGCATCCTCTTTTTCTAGTAATCAAAGGCAATTTTTAATTTAATTAAAAAAAATTTTTTTGAGAAACAGGACATCATGATAAACATTTTTAAAAATGTGGAACTGGGCTTCCCTGGTGGCGCAGTGGTTGAGGGTCCGCCTGCCGATGCAGGGGATGCGGGTTCGTGCCCCGGTCCGGGAAGATCCCACATGCCGCGGAGCGGCTGGGCCCGTGAGCCATGGCCGCTGAGCCTGCGCGTCCGGAGCCTGTGCTCCACAACGGGAGAGGCTACAGCAGTGAGAGGCCCGCGTACCGCAAAAAAAAAAAAAAAAAAAAAAAAAAAGTGGACTATTTATATAAATCCAAAATAGAGATATAAAGATGAAGTACAACAGATACAGATAGATAATAAATTATTGTGTGATTATTTGATAGTCTCATGTATAGTTTTATATATTACGTATGTGCTTTCTTAAATTTTTTAATTGAAGTATACTTGATTTAAAATGTTGCGTTAATTTCTGCTGTACACCAAGGTGATTCAGTTATACATATGTGTACATTCTTTTTCATATCCTCAAAGGCGAGTTTTAAAATTAACACTCGGTGTTACTGAGAGCATACATTGCAGGTTCCAGTGTACATCGATTCAAGCTTTACAAAAGTTAATTTGACAGTCTAGCACGTGTCTTAAAATGATGTACCTACTGATAAAGCAATTCCACTTTGGTGCAACTATCTTTTGTAATAGTAATCAGAAAATAAGATGGATTAAAAGTTAGAGTCAACTTCAGTGCCCAGGAATATGAGAACGGTTAAATTGATTCTGGAATGCCTGTAGTGTGAAATATTATGAAGCCTTAAAATGATGTCTTCAAAATAGGATTTCCACACTTAGAAAAATGTTTTATGTAGGACATTAAGGTTACATAAAATATGAGTTATTTTATATAGAAAAAAAGAAGAAATCACTTATATAAAAAGAAATCACATATAAAAGACTAGAAAGAGTGTATAGAAAAGTTTAGCAAATTATCCGTGTATTTATTACTGATTATTGTATGTTAGTGATTATTGGTGATTTGGAGGTTAACCTTCCTGTTTTCACTGTAGACCTTTTCTACATTAAGCATGCAGAGTATAATTGGAAAAAGCCACTTCTGTTAAAAAAAAAAAACAAACGAAAAACACAGCCACACCTGGCAGATGTTGACATGGGCCATCATTGTTATGGTTACTATCAGATCCTGTGTGGTTTCCCATGAAACCACTATCCATCACTCGTCAAATTACAGCAGTTCGAATATCTGTTATCTTTTCTAGAGGAGTCTGAACTCGTCCTCTGGCCTCACACATGAAACATTAAACTCAAAAGCAGAAAAGTAAATAAGGGGAAATAGGCACTGAACTAGAGTGAGGGCTGCCGGGACTGAGCTGTAGCTGCGGCCATGCTTGACCCAGCTTATGCAGCCCATTGAACGTCACGGCCTTTATGTATTTCACTGCAGACCTCAAACTTCTTCAGCATCCCAGGTAAATCATTTTAGGCAGCTGCACGTAAGTGAGAAATTGGACCTTCACAGCCTGGGTGCTCGGAGCATATCGTGTACGGAACAGAGTAGAATAACCTCATTTTATTATTTGCTTGAAATCTGTGTGTGTGATCTTCTTGTAGGCCAATCAAATGAAGAGGAAGAAACTTTGGATTCTTCCTTAGAAAAGCAGACTCGGTCCAAACACTGCACAGAATCCTCGGGCATCCATGGTGACTCCCCCTACGGTTCCAGCATCATGGACACCCAGGGCCTAGAGTCCAAAGCCGAAAGGATCGCCAGGTACAAAGCAGAGAGGAGACGGCAGCTGGCAGAAAAGTATGGGCTCACCCTGGACCCGGAAGGCGACGCTGAATCTCCTTCTCGATACAGCAAGTCCAGGAAGGACCCTGAGACGGCTGAGAAAAGGGGAGGGAAAAGTGACCGCTCTGCTGAGCCCAGCAGAGATTCGGGCGCTTCCTACTCCAGGACCGAGATCCCGGGGCTCAGGAGCTGCATGGCTGGGTCCAAGGACCACGCCCTCCACCGGCGCGATGGTGTTTCTGACGCAGAGGTGCTGCTCAACGTAGAAAACCAAAGACGAGGTCAAGAGCCCAGTGCCACCGGGCCAGCCCGAGACCTGCCCCCCGCGGGGGAGGGTTCTGCATCCTTCCCATTCTCCGGGCGAGACTGCACCCTCGGTGAAATGCCGAGGTCCCCAAAGCCAACGCACAGCCTGCCCGGGCCGCCACCTGGGCAGCCAGCCTCTCCGAGCCACTCCACAGGCGACCTGCCACTCCCTGCCGAGGCTCGAGCCAGGTAAGTGCTGACCTGCGGACACCTGCGTCCCCTCTGCCACTGCTGTGTCTGGGATCTGGGGGTCCTCAGCGCTCTGCGGAAGTCTGGGCTCACCACAGAAATAATGCAATTTATGGTTTTTTAATTTCCGCAGTCTCAACACAGGTCCTACGGAAGCAGAAAGCTTCCTGGTCTTTTTGATTTATATAATTCTTGGTGTGTTCTTTTTTAAAAGAATAAATTGAACAGGTGTCGTGGGGACACACTTTCAGGACCTTTTTCTTTTTTTAACATCTTTATTGGAGTATAATTGCTTTACCTTGTTGTGTTAGTTGCCGCTGTATAACGAAGTGAATCAGCTTTACGTACACATATATCCCCATATCTCCTCCCTCTTGCGTCTCCCTCTTAAGCCTCCCTACCCCACCCCTCTAGGTGGACACAAAACAGTGAGCTGATCTCCCTGTGCTATGCGGCTGCTTCCCACTAGCGATCTATTTTACGTTTGGTAGTGTGTATATGTCCATGCCACTCTCTCACTTCGTCCCAGCTTACCCTTCCTCCTCCCCGTCCTCAAGTCCATTCTCTACGTCGTATGTTCCTATTATCATTTTCTTAACTGTTTTGGGTTTATTATTGTAGGTCTTTTCCTTCTCTTGTGTTTCCTGCCTAGAGAAGTTCCCTTGGCATTTGTTGTAAAGCTGGTTTGGTGGTGCTGAACTCTCTCAGCTTTTGCTTGTCTGTAAAGGTTTTAATTTCTCCATCAAATCTGAATGAGATGCATGCTGGGTAGGGTAATCTTGGTTGTAGGTTTTTCCCCTTCATCACTTTAAATATGTCCTGCCACCCCCTTCTGGCTTGCAGAGTTTCTGCTGAAAGATCAGCTGTTAACCTTATGGGGATTCCCTTATACATCATTTGTTGCTTTTCCCTTGCTGCTTTTAATATTTTTTCTTTGTATTTAATTTTTGATAGTTTGATTAATATGTGTCTTGGCATGTTTCTCCTTGGATTTATCCTGTATGGGGCTCTCTGTGCTTCCTGGACTTGATTGACTATTTCCTTTCCCATATTAGGGAAGTTTTCGACTATAATCTCTTCAAATATTTTCTCAGTCCCTTTCTTTTTCTCTTCTTCTTCTGGGACCCCTATAATTCGAATGTTCGTGCGTTTAATGTTGTCCCAGAGGTCTCCGAGACTGTCCTCAGTTCTTTTCATTCCTTTTTCTTTATTCTGCTCTGCAGTAGTTATTTCCACTACTTTATCTTCCAGGTCACTTATCCGTTCTTCTGCCTCAGTTATTCTGCTATTGATTCCTTCTAGAGAATTTTTAATTTCATTTATTGTGTTGTTCATCATTGTTTGTTTCATCTTTAGTTCTTCTAGGTCCTTGTTAAATGTTTCTTGCATTTTCTCTATTCTATTTCCAAGATTTTGAATCATCTTTACTATCATTATTCTGAATTCTTTTTCAGGTAGACTGCCTATTTCCTCTTCATTTGTTAGGTCTGGTGGGTTTTTATCTTGCTCCTTCATCTGCTGTGTGTTTTTCTGTCTTCTCATTTTGCTTATCTTACTGTGTTTGCGGTCTCCTTTTTGCAGGCTGCAGGTTCGTAGTTCCCGTTGTTTTTGGTGTCTGTCCCCAGTGGCTAAGGTTGGTTCAGTGGGTTGTGTAGGCTTCCTGGTGGAGGGGACTGGTGCCTGTGTTCTGGTGGATGAGGCTGGATCTTGTCTTTCTGGTGGGCAGGTCCACTTCTGGTGGTGTTTTTTGGCGTGTCTGTGACCTTATTATGATTTTAGGCAGCCTCTCTGCTGATGGGTGGGGTTGTGCTCCTGTCTTGCTAGTTGTGTGGCCTGGGGTGTCCAGCACTGGAGCTTGCTGGTCGTTGGGTGGAGCTGGGTCTTAGTGTTGAGACAGAGATCTCTAGGAGAGCTCTCACCGATTGATATTACATGGAGCCGGGAGGTCTCTGGTGGTCCAATGTCCTGAACTCGGCTCTCCCACCTCAGAGGCTCAGGCCTGACACCCGGTCAGAGCACCAAGACCCTGTCAGCCACACGGCCGGTATGTGGGGAGTTTCTTGCCTTTGGGAAGTGTGAGGTCTTAGGTGTTCTGTAGGAGTTGTTCCACACGTAGAAGTATTTTTGATGTATTTGTGGGGATTGCCACGTCTCACTCCTCCACCGTCTTGAAGGTCCTCCTCATGACCTTTCTTCTTACTGTGTTTCTCGCTCGCCTTTAACAACTGTCTTTTTCTTTGTTTTTCTGTGGTCATACCCAAGACTTTGGGGCGATTGTTTTTGTTGCAGTCATTTAAAGTCACCAAGCAGAAGGACACCACTAACCAGTTTCCACTGGGTCTCAGTTTAGGGTATGAAGTGTGACTGTGATATACGCTGAATATAACTGTGACATATGTTTTATAAGTATATTGGCACGCTAAGAAGACAGCTGTGTATACGAGCATCTCATTGAAAAGATCAGCCAGTAGGAGAAATCGCTGTGTCATAGGGTCAATCTATGGAAAATCAGAAAAGGAATAAAATCAAAAAGTCAGATGCCAGAGAAGATATGTGTTTCTTTCTCAATTGAAATATCTAAATTTAAATTTAAGTTCAGTTTAGATATTTAAATCTAATAAGCGTGATGACCAATTAAAATGCAATCTACTTAAACATCCTACATAACGGTTTGGGGTAATTGTCTAGATAGACTCCGACATGTATTTTTTCAGTTCAAACGAGCGTTAGCTTTGCAGGTGAATTGAGGAAGGATGAGAACCCGAGATAAAGCAAATTTATTCTGGAAGAAAAAAAAGGATGTTGGAAAATACTCCTGTTTATTCCACATTGGAACGGAGCAGTACATATGGTCGTCTTCATATGGCAGTTGTATATCTAAAGCAGCTTATTTTAGTTATTGAAGTATGTTGACCTCAAGACCTGTCACCACTTGCTTGATCATCTGTACTAGAATATTTAGGGATATTAGTTTCTAAGAGAATTCAATAGTATGGGTCCTGATTGTATTTTGAGGGCCTTTGTCCAGGCTTTGAACTTAACTGCTTAAAATTTAGGGACCTATTGTCTCGTGCTTTGAAAGGGAAGTCTGTTGTTTGGGAAATTTGCTTTTCCTAGTAGAAGCAGTGTTTTGGCGTTAGTTAGGCTCTGTCAAAGCAAACTCTTCATGGGCTGTGTGAGCAGGACAGACAAACTTAACATCGCAGTTTGGTTACATGGGTTAAAAAATAATGAGGAATCTAATTTCTGAGTGCCATATCATGAAAACTGTTTATTATCATGGTGTCTAGGTTAGCCATCTAGATCACATATAGTAGATGAGATTTTGAAGCAGTTGTAATAATAATTAAAACCACGTTGAGTATTCCAGGTAAAATGACAGGATTCTTAATAGTTCTCTGTGAGTTAAAATCTCAATATTCAAAAATATGTATCACTTAAAATCTCAAGAGCCCATCTCCTTCTAGATTATTTGAAGAGGCACGTTACCTGGAAATTTTCGTAAGCCTTAGCCTGACAGCGCCTGACTTTCATGGAAGAAAGGCTTAAAAGTATTGAGAAATTGTAAAGGAGTTCACAAGGAAGCACGTGCCTTATTTTTTTTGAAGCCACTCAAGGCATACAATTCTATGATTTACAGGCAAAGAAACACAAATCATTTCATACGTGTAAGGAAAATACCTCAGATATATTTACATTAAAAAAGGATGGAAAATAATGTGACAGGTATGATGTTAAAGTAGCATTGGGATTTATTTGGCAATGATTCTATTTATTCACCTTTTAAAGATGGATTTAAATGGATGAACATCCTGCTAGTTGTCCTTTCTCTAGAGCCAGGAAATTCAGGTGTCAGAAGGTCATTGTTGTCTCACTTCCACTTGGGGAGAAGAAAGACAAAAAATATTTTGTGAACTGAAACAGTAACCAGAGACCCCTCGGTGACCCAGTAACCATAAGTGAAAATAAGATGGTGTCTGACCTGGAAATATGTGACAGAGAAGTTTAGAAGATTAAGGAATGACCAAAAATAATTATCTACAAATAACAAAACAATTGAATGCCATACTTAATCATGGATTTGTCCTATCACTGAAACGGAGTATTTTTCTCACTGCTGTATTTTACTCTTTCATCACCTAGCTCTACCAGGATTTGGAACTATTCATCTCTGAATTAAGTCATGCCCATTCCGTCGTTTCATTTTGTGCTCACGAGAAAGAGGCTCTTTTTGTTTCATTAATTAAATAGGAATACATCACTCATGAACTATAACATCAAAACACTGCCCGTGGTGTCCTAAATTTCAAATGTGAGCCAGATAGGGAATGCATGGTTTTTGTATATTCTCATATATGCTAACGCAGAAATATATGTACACACAGAATAATCATTAGTTCTTACACTGTACTGTACTGTTTTTAAGCATTATAAGCTCAGTAACAATCTCTAGGGCAATATTTAGCTGAGTAGTAAGTTTATTTTAGAATTATTTAACGTTCAGTTTATATGATAAAGAACATATGTATGTGTGTATGTTAATGTATATATGTGTATGTATGTTAGTCACAGGGTCTTCAGTTCAGAAACCCTGTTAGTTTCCCAGGAAGTCAGGTGAAAACATTGTTCTGTAGCAAACTAAGAATGTACATAGTAACAGAGCAGTATATATACACCACATCATATATATGTGTGTGTGTGTGTGTGTGTATATATATATATATATATATATATGCTATATTATATCAGTAATAGAGCATAAAACACCTCCCAACCACCACTCCCCAAATCCTGCCAAATCCTGTTAAGTCTGGGATTTCAGGAACTATGTTTTCTGACGAGGTGGTGTTACTGATACGAACCGTTCTTTGTTACTTCAGCCACTGTGAATTTTAGAATAAAATTCAAAGGGATCGGGGGCCTATGAATTATTATTCAAAAATTTAAAAATCTGAGCTCTATTAGAAATCCTAAATTCAAAGCTCTTGTTGAATTTGCTC